GTAGATATAACCATAGTTACCTTACTTATATCCCTACTTACTAAGTCCCATGATCCTCGCTTTCCATCCCCAAGATCGAGGGTCGAGCCTCGCTGCCGAGGAAAGCCGAGATCTCACTTTGCAGAGCGGCCTGCTTTGGGAAGCATTACTGTAGGGGACTTAGTAATTAGAATAGGGTTTCGTGGGTGTATTATACTATAATTATAGTAACCCTCGAAACCCTATTCTAATTCTTATAAGGCCCCTACATTACTTGATCTTTGGGCGTCCAGGGCAGGGCCAAAGATCCGAATTGTAGTGTTTACGTAGAAGTCCCAGCTGCGAACATGCCAAGAACATCCCCTTCCGACTCGAGCTGAGCTGAGGTTCGGAACTTCCGTTTCAGGGTGGAGGGCCTCTGGGTGAGCCGGGGGCGGATTTCAACAGAAGGCCCCTGGCCTTCATGTCTCGCAGGATCTGCTCGTAGACGCCCATATTTGCCTTTCAATTCTAGGGTAACTTTGACTACTTGACGGCACTTGCTCGTTTCTCATGTGCAGCTCTGACACAGTCTGGCATACCTGCCTGTAAACTTAATCACCCTTACACCTTTAATTAGCATCCTGAGTCCTAAGGCGTCCCGGCACCTGGTGCATTCGGACGACATCCCCATTCCAAAGAAAGCTTCCCGGAATCTGGGAGCCCTCCTGATGAAAGCCGGTTCGGAGGGCTCCGATCTCGGCCTGCTGGAAGCTCTGTGCTCCGAAAACGAAGGGCAGTCCATCCAGCACTTCGCGCACGGTGGCAACCAACATTCCTGCCGACCAACCGAGAAGCTGTTTGGATCGTTCTTTGCAAGCGCCCGCATTAAGCGGAGGTCCCTCCCTTTTTCCTTTAGCATACTTGTCCCGGAGGCTTTGTCACAAGCTTCTGAAAGAACCCTAAGGAAACTAAATGCCCTCAAGCCTCAATCCTAAAGCTTTGACCCCAAACGCAACTTCATAAAGCTACTGTCCTCTCCGTGTCCGTGGCCGACACTGCTGCCAGGCATCTGGTCGCTTCGAACGCATTTCCTGTTGAGGCACTCGCTCTTCGTGACCATCGCCGTCAGTACGAGCTTGATCCAAGATTGGACTATGAATAGAACATATGATTGCAAACAGACTCTGGGAAATGTACGGAATGTCCTTAACTATTACAGGAGTTCGACTTGAGGTGAGATCTCAGAATCCTTCACATAAGCTTCCTACATTTCAAAAAGCTGCCATACCGTTCGGTGCCTTGACCCTAAACCCGTAGTATAGGGGCCTGAATAATTAGAATAGGGTTTGGGGGCATTCTACCATAAATACACTAAGGAACCCCTAAAACAGTATAGGTAGTTATTAAGGCCCCTACATTAGGTGCTTTGACCCTAAACCCTTAGATGCCTCAGCCTTGCACCGCCCTGTATCCCGGTCCCGCTGAAGGCTCGGGTCTGGAGCACGCCAATGCACCAAAATGGAGTGCCCTCGGTGCTTCGGATTGCAGGCGTAGTGTAGTGACCTTAATATATAGAATAGGGCTTTGGGGGTATATACTATACGCATAGCCAGGAACCCGCCAAAATAGTATGGGTAATCATTTAGACCCTACATTAGGGTGCGTTCGAAGGCTGAGCTTCGGGTTTCGGCTGACGGGGCTGTTCGGGTGCAAGCGGCTTTATCGTCCATCTTCGACTTCGCTGCGATCCAACGCGGAATATACCAGAATCCTCAGCCCTGTACAGGGGCCCGTTGTGAGTTTGAAGCTTGCTTCCATTTGCGAAAAAGGAAGCTTTTGGAGAGAGCTCTGGCCCCAAAGACCATACTTCACAATGTAACGCTTAGGCTTCGCTGTGTACGAAAAGTATGGAATCACCCAAGAAACATCTTGCTCAACTGCCGGGAGCCATGAACGTCTTCAAAATCGCTTCAAGGGCAGGCCAACCAACCCGTTCACACAACCTTTGGTTCATCCCAAACCACCGAGTCCGCAAGCAAAACTGCAGATCGCTTGCATGCATGCCGAACAGCGAAGACTCAAAGCCGGCGAACCGGGAAACGAACCTCGAAAGTCAGACCGAACCTCTGCCTCCTACAAGGCTTCAACCCACCTCCACTCCAAACACAACAACCTAAACCCTAAACCCCAAACCTAAAATGCAGCCTCAACCCCTGAAGCTGCACTCATTTGTCTTATATACTTGTGGCACTGCTACGCTATATATAGCACATGAGTAGAACTGCTACTCTTAATTTCGTTGGGCTTTTTTCGGTATCCCCAAGCTTCAATATAGCCAACTCCTTACTTGAATGAAAATCCTGCTGCAGCAGCATTTAGTTGCTGTATCTCGATTACAAAGTAGGTCAGCTCAGTGCAGTTCTGACAATTCGCCCGACAGGCTACCATGCTGTTGCAAATTCTGCAGGGATGAGTAATATTAAATTGAGTCATGTTCCACTACTACACTTCCCTCTATTGTCTACTAAGCCATCATATTGCCAAGAACCTTCCTTAACGGCCTGGGCTTGGAGGTTCTGAACAACTGAGATGACGACAGTCTTCGCTCTCCGTGGCCTCGAGAGGCCAAAGCTTCTCGATCAGCTCCTCCTGAATCCGGTGCTTCGGAGCCCCTGAAGACCCTAAGACTCAAAATCCCCAACCCGGAAGTTTCAGATTCTGGAAATCACCAACCCAGTAAGGTGATGTCTCGCAAGTCTGATGCCAGCAAGTTTGAACAGTCGGAACGCGGAAATCTCCATGGAGCTAACACAACGTGTTCTAACGGGGTAATGTAGAGGCCTGAATAATTAGAAGAGGGTTTGGGGGTATATTATACTCTAATCAAAACAAGGAACCCCAAAAATAGTACTGGCAATCATGTAAGCCCCTATGTTATCATTTTCACATCTTTCTTAACTTGCCCAAGCTTGATGAAAGCTCCAGCGCTGGTGCCGGCGACCCACGCTCGCCGTTCCACAGAAGCACGAGTTGTACCAAGCCTTTCCGATGGAGGCTTTCGGGTTTAGGGTTTTGGGTGTCCCGAGCTTGTTTCAACTAGCTGCAACACTTTTATCTTGCAAACTATTCAAGGTAGCTCCTAAGCGATCACGGCTCTACTCGTCATCGCTGAAATGTGCGATGCACCCACAGCAAAAGGTGTTGCTTTCCAGACTGCAAGCCCAAGGCCTGTCTGCCGCTCAGCTGTGAGCTCCACATACCGCAGGGCCGGCGCAGTTACTCCTCGGTCGGGAGAGGACGGGGCACTTTCGGTGGGGGGCTGCTTTGAGAGAGTTTGAAGGCTTGAAGTCTCGCGAAGGACAGACTGGTGCTTTGGGGGCATGTTTTGCTATGTTCGATTTGAGGTTTTCAACGAACTGTGAAGACCAGTGGTGCCAGGTGCTGAGGTTCCTGTACACGAAAGGGTACGAGTCGCATGCTCTGGGACTCCCGTTAGCCGCACTCTCAAGCAGGCATCATTGAACCTCTCATGTTGTGCCAAAGATCATAAGCCTCAAGCCCCTGACCTCGACCAGAGTTGGCAAGTAGGCTCTACCTAGATTTGCAAGTAGGATGCATCGAATCAGGGTGATCATGAGGAGCCCCAAAGGATAGTTTCATAAACTACGACGGCCGTTACATTGCCTTAGAGCCGTAATGCTGCACACTAAACCCCAAACTACAAGCCCTTACATCTCCATTAGCCTAGACCCTAAACCCTAAACCGTTTACCAAGGGGAAGACGCAGGCCCTAAACCCCTGAGGGTGCCCTACTTAGAGGATCAGGGGACTTAGTAAGTAGGGTTATAAGTAAGGTAACTATAGTTATATCTACTTATAACCCTAATTCAGGTACTTATAATCTTACTTACTAAGTCCCGTGATCCCCTAAGTACCTTTGAGCCCTAAATCCTCAAGCCCACTTGGCGCGGAGGCTCGCCAACTCTCGGGCTTGGCGTGGTCGAAGGGCAGCACCTTTGGAGGCTGAGGTTTAGGGTTTAGGGTTTAGGGTTTAGGGTTTAGGGCTTTGAGTTGGGGGTTTCAGATCCTTCCGGGGGTCTGGGGCAGTCGGGTCTCCGTTGGGCGTTGGAAAACGGAGCTCCCTGGATCGACTCCGGGCTCCGGGCGCCAGGCAGCGCCGCCAGGGCAGCTTCCAGCACACCCAGGGCCCGATCCTTAAAGTGAAGTGGCTTTAGGGTTTAGGGTTTAGGGTTTGGGGTTTCGGGCTTTAGGGTTTAGGGTTTAGGTTTGGGGTTTAGGGGTTTAGGGGTTTTGGGTTTAAAGTTTAGGGTTTTAGGGTTTAAGGGTTTAGGGGTTAGGGGAAGACGGTGGTGTAGGGTTTGGGGTGGGACAGGGTCTCTGAGGGTTAACGTTTTTTCAGAACGTTCCATCGAGGATGTCTGAGGTGCTGTTGGGTTCTTTCGGGCTTTGATAGGATGTTCTGCATGCAAGCCTGGTTCATGAGAAGGACACCATGGAAGATGAGAGGAATGTTCATATTTAAGCTGTCGGGTCTGGGGCTTAAATTTTGAAGCTCAAAGGTTCAAGGAGTTGTCCTTGCACTCGAGCGCGAGGGCTCGAACTTCGCTTGCTGCGCCAGAAGTGATGTATGGCTTTGTTGAAACCCCTGACCCTGAATCCCTTAACGTAGATGCCCTGTTGTCCGGCCTGTGTGGCCGAGGAGTTTAAGCACATAAGGGATCCCAATATGGACCCCGAGCAATAGGGGTCCAACTCAAACAGGATCCCCAAACAAGACAATTCAGGCGCTGTAAACATTAGAACAGGGGTTCGGGGTGGGAAGGTTATACGGCGACCATAAGGGGTGTATCATAATTGCCTCCGACCCCTATATCATCCTTATAAGTGTTCTGACAAGCCCGCCAGTGTCAAAGTCTTGCATCAAGGAGTCGATGGCGGGGTGAAACACGGCGCATCCGCGGCACCTGCGGATATCTGGGCTTCGTATAAAGGTACTACTCTGTGAAGCTCATATCTTTAAAACCCCCGATGAATGAACTCCCCGACGTTAAGGGCCTTTATATCAGGATCCCGGTCCTACTCCCCTTTAACTGCTGTAATATTATCATAGTCGCTGCCATTGTGCATTGTCGTTACTCTTCTTACATCTTCTTACTGAGGTGGGCAGCAGGATACTCAGGCTTCGGGACTTAGGACCGATCACGTCGGATTCTGTGGGGTTTGATTTCTACTCTGACCTGCCGCGAAGCTAAGTTTCCATGGCAACATGTAAACCCCTGATTAATACACCCTCTCCTGCAATAAGGGTCGCTATGTGTCATTTTAGAATTTTGGCGCTTGCCGAAGGGTTTAGGGGTTTCTGAATCAAAGGTCTACAATATCTCTGCCAAGCTCACAACACAGCTTGCCAGCGTAAGATCCGCGCCCTGTACGCGATATGCGAGGTACACGCACAAGGTCAGAGTGTGGTGGTTCAGTGTTTTGAGTGTGCATTCTGCATGTCTCTGCATCCCAGAAGCAGAAAGAAGCAGTGCAACCCTCCAGAAATCACGCAGCAACTGCAGCAGAAACTGTCAAAAGCATCGTGCAATCCATCTAAGTCCTGAGCATTTTTAAGGCCGCTTCTGTCTGAGAAGCTATGAGCCGTATGGGTAGTTCTCTAAATGAGGATCCCTTCTTAGGTCCCAGATATAGTACGGCACCCTTATAAAAAAGGACCCTCAAAGGGACCCTAATTCAGAGGACTCGGGTTAGACCTTTGACAGTGGGATCTTCCTTGGATCGAGCGCTGATTAAACAAGTTAATGTAAAGCCCTGACTAATCAAATCCCCGGCCCTTATGAAAAGTGTTGCCATTACTATTGTTGCGGTTGTGATTATGATGATATTTTTTTTGCTGTTGTTCGCGTTTTCATCAATCTCCAAAGGATATACCAAAAGCCTTGAAACCCCTCGACCACCTCGCCACCTCGAAGGTACCTGGACGCAAGTCGATGGAGGGATTTCTAGTTTCCTCCAAGGGACGTAGTATAGGGATCTGGGTGGGGCCCGAATAAGCGGAAGAAGGTTTTGGGTTCTAGGAAGAGAACTGAAACTGTGGAGGTTCAGAGGTTTAGGCTCATAGGGTTCAGGGTTGTAGGGTAGCAGTTTAGGAAGCTTAGGGTGCAATCTGGGAAGCTGATTAAGACTTAGCTTCTCGAGATGGCTGTTCAGATGGATTCATTCATACTCGGGACTCAGGTCAAGGGTTGTCCTCAATCAGGTACCCACATTCGAGAACGGAGCTCTGTGCTGAAAAAGAGCACTTACGTTTCGGGTTTGGGGGTCGGTGTAGCGTAACCCGGAAGAAAACACGTGGAGGGCAAGGGCATCTAGGAATCTAGGAGCCGCTGCTGGAACAAACGACGCCTGCATTGAGTCAGGACGCTGGTTGCAGCTACCACAAGAGGCCTGGTAGCGAGGTATCTGGAATACAGCTTCTCTTGCAGTGCGCGTGGGGCTTAAGTTTTGAGCAGTCTAGGGCTGGGAATTCAGACGTCTTCAGAGAAGAAGCTACGTAGATAGCAGGACTTTAGCTTCAATCGAAGTTGTGCCGGCACTGATAGCACCCTGAACCCCAAGCACCCAGTCTCATCCCTTGAATCCTAACCTTGAACTCAAGCCCCAGGGCATCAGAAATAAGAGCCCCAAATGTAGGGTTTCGGGGTATGTTGTACTATAAATATATCAAGGAACCCCGAAAATAGTGGAAGTGATTGATAAGGCCCCTATATTACACCCTGAAGCCTCGAAGCTGGAGCCATCAATCCTTGACCCTGGTTTAGTATTTAGATTAGGATATGATAGAATCTAAAAGTAAGGGTCGTTGAACCTTAAACCCTTTTGCGGTACATGTCGTCCTTAAGTTAGAACCCGAGATCAGAAGCCTGACGCACTGAAGCTTCGACGCTTCCGTCACGTATTCCCAGACCCTCTATCTCCCTGGTTGAGGGTCGCTCATTGCCGAGCCTCTGTGTTTCGGACTATGGGACTATTGGTCTCCGGGTTGGAGCAAAGACGCCCCTATGAAGACAATTTAAGAAGTCCGTTAAAACAATTTCGTACATTCCCCAAAGACCATGAAGCATGTTCCGATAGACGACGCCTGTCAATAGCCCCGAGAAAATACTGCGGAAAGCCTTGCCAAAGACCGTTTTGCAACTCTCTAGCCGAACTCCCCTAAAAGCCAAAAGTCCGAACGACTGTAATCTGGGGGAGTGCCTCTGGCAAAAAGACCGATCACCGGCGCCCCTCCACGGGAAGGTCCCACCGCCAGCTTGGCACCTCTTTGGGTGGGATGTAGGGAGCTTCAGAAAAGACGGTTTAAGTTTGAGGCTTAGCTTTTAGGAGTAGCATTCCTGATATACCGATCCTTCATCACGCCACGCTTAGATACATTTCGGATCTTTCAGTCTCCAAGAAGTCAGGGCGCGCCGCGTTTTCGGCTCCTGACAGCTTGGGGCCTCCGAGCATGCCTGAACAACTGCAATCAAGACCGGCTAGCTTCATCAAGATCAAACGATAGTCCAGGCATGCAGCCGCTTGTAAAAAGCCAGCTCAGTTGCAGGTCGGGGTTAAGGGCACAAAGTGGTGGCGTATGGACTGCTGCAGCATGTAGGGTTTGATGTAGGGATCTTTAGGATAAGGATTTTTGGGGCATATCCTAATCTACTCGTATAGGAACTGTGAGGAGATGTTGCCGCTTCGTAATAGCCAGGCCACGTGTTCGGTATCCCAGAGGTGAAGAAGCCTGCAGGGCGCGATGCTGTCATGAGCAGCCTGCTCAACAGGATGCTAAGGACTCAAGATGCAAAGCCGTCCTCGCAATCCGAACCTCCAAATCTTGCAACAATGCCGCCAGTGGAGTTATAGTTCTGATCTAGCCGTTCTGGAGTATCGAGGAATCCCTGTGGAAGCTTCCGCATGCGAAGAAGCTTTCAACTCATCCCGGCCCAGTGTGATGACAGAAAGCTTGAAAGCATGCGAAGCAGGAACAACTCTCAGATGTCCTAGAACCCGAACCTGCAAACCAAGCAGCATGCATGGATGCATGCAGTAACTGTATGAAGACATCCAGAAATCGCTTCTCTATATTACATGCGTGTGGCAGCATAGACGTCCACGGGCTCAGCACCCTCTCGCCGGCGCCACCGGGACAGGAGGCGCCTCTTGTGCCCAAGGTTTCCGGCTTCAGAGCCCTTTGGTTTCAGGGTTTCAGGGCTTTGGGTTTTGGGGATTGTCGGAGTTCCAGCCTCTGGGGAAGTCTTGTGAGGCTTTGCAATCGAGGATCATGTTGAAGCGCCAACATGAGGATCTCATGGCGTTTCCTGGGATGCCCTCACAGGCCCACATACGTCAAAGGTGGGATGTCGCTTGCTTTTTGCTTGTATTTTTGGGCCCTGGGATCGAGGCACATGCTTGGGAGACTGGCTACGCAACACGAAGGGATGTGTTCCCAGGAGTTAGAGGAGTGTAGGACCAGGACATTTTTCCGAAACTCCGGGTTGCTCTTTCCAAGCTCTTGCCTTGGAAGGATTGTTGCAGAATCATTGTCCCCAACTTCGCAGGCTTCTCTCTTGGATTTTCGGGTGTAGGGGTTCGGTGAGAGGGGCGCAACTAGATTCGACCAAAAGGACATGCTCATTTTTCAAAACCCCTATGTTGCCCAGGAACTAGAGGAGTCTTGAAATGCCGTGAGGGTCCTGATGACGAGGAACGTACCTTTTAAGGTCTATAGAAAGGCTCAATCCTATGGTGGTTTAGGGTGTAAGTGGGTTTTTGGTGATAGAGTCAGGCCTCTCAGGGTTTGGGCTTTAGGGCTTTCTGCTTTCGGTTGTTCGGTTTGGGGATATAAAGACCCGAAAAGCTTGGAGTCGAAAGGGTCGGTTAATGGAGTGGCCTTACTAATTAGAATAGGGTTTTGGGGCCCCATTATGCTATAATTACAATAAGGACCCCCCAAAATAATATAGGTAATTATGAAGGCCCTATATTACTCACTCAGCTACTTTGTTGACACCAATCTTCAGACCAAGGGGCACAGAAGGGTGGCTTTGCTGAAAGTCCTGGATCGGAGAGGGAGGCTCTTTGATATCAGGAAAATGAACGAAAATTCAAGATGTACTCGTAGCACCAACAACTTGAGTAGTGGGGATGGGGTTCAACAAGAGTTTGAAGTTTAAAAGCCGGCTGAGACGATATGATTACAAAGCTTGGGTATCTGCGGAAGAGTGCGTGTAAGAAGCCGTAAAATTCGAAACCCGAATCCCAAACCCGCCTAGATCTGTAAAGCCTAGGGCATGTTGGCAGACATACTTCGACAAGACGGTTGAGTTCGGGGTATTGCTGCCACGAACTCCGCAAAGCTTTAAATCCTAAACACATTTCCAAAACTCGGAATCCTGATCCAGAGCCGCTAAGACGCAAATCCTAAACCAAGTAGACAGTGTGCTTTCCTTGTGTTGGTAACTTGAACAACTAAGCTCCTTGACAAGAAACCCTAAACCCTAAACCCCTAAACCCTAAACCTCTAAAGCCTAAACCCTAACACTCCTCCGCAGATTGGTAGGGATAGTTGTCCCTCTCGGCTTGGCAACGGCAGCCCCAAAGGTGACAGCCGAGGGCTGTACCCGGCGAGGCCCTGGATATAATTTGGGTGGTTCTCTAAATTAGGGTCCTTTTTAGGGTTTCTGTAAGGGTTCCATATGGGTAGTTTTCTAAATTAGGGTCCTTTTCGGGTTCCTTAAAGGGATCTATAAAGGTTTCTACAGGGTTTCTGAAAGGGTTCTATATGGGTAGTTTTCTAAATTAGGGTCCCTTTTAGGGTTCCTTAAAGGGATCTATAAAGGTTCTACAGGGTTTCTGTAAGGGTTCTATATGGGTAGTTTTCTAAATTAGGGTCCCTTTTAGGGTTCCTTAAAAGGATCTATAAACGTTTCTACAGGGTTTCTGTAAGGGTTCTATATGGGTAGTTTTCTAAATTAGGGTCCCTTTTAGGGTTCCTTAAAGGGATGATCTATAAAGGTTTCTACAGGGTTTCTGTAAGGGCTCTATATGGGTAGTTTTCTAAACTAGGGTACCTTTTGGGGTTCCTTAAAGGGATTTATAAAGGGTTCTATAGGGTTCCTATAAGGGTACTGCCAGGGTTCTACATGCGTAGCTTTCTAAATTAGGGCCCCTTTTAGGTCCCCAATATAGTACGGCACCCTTATGAAAAGGCCCCTAAAAGGGACCCGGAGTTGTTGACCCTAACCAGGAACCCGGAAAAGCCCCCTTCTAACAACACAGTCGTCTACAATGGGCCCCATGCAAGTTCGATGCCGGTAGCAGGGAAGATACACAGTTTACAACCTTCTCGCGATCATCTTTGAAGACCTCACAGCTGCAGCAGTGCGACTGGATGACTGGAAGATAACAGTGCTGTTTTGTCAACTGCTTCGGGATTAGGGTTCGGGGTTGAGGGCATGAAGAAAGCTGACAAGAAGGCACATGGCCCTCTTGTCCGTCTGTCAGGACTGTAGGGTTTCCGGGGTTGCTTTGAGCAGTGATGCTTTCTGAAGCACGAACCGAGCAACAGATCTCGCCAGACGTACTGACGAAAGTCATTCGTTCTCGCCTTAAAGCCTTCTGCGTTACTACGCCCGCACAGGAAAGCCCTATACAGTCAAGTGTTCCTAAGAGGAAGATGTCGCCAATGCTTCCGTGGCTTGTTTGTGGGGAAATGTGCTTTGCAGTTGCCTTGGTCATCGACCGTGAGATTTGGAGTGTGTCGAAAGTCGGCGCTGGATCTTTAAAGTCCTTGAAATGTGACTGTCCCCCTGTGTTCTCCGGAACTCCAGAAATATGAAAGCATTCAGCCCAGGCCTGTATCCGATCTCCCAGAAATCTGAAATGCCGCTCTGCCTCGCTTGAAGACGGTCGATGCGTCGGCCGCGTGGAACGGCCCTCCGGGTTAAAGCAGTGGCTGGGCTAAACGGCTAAACTGAGGTCCATTGCTCAGCGAGTTGGGGACCTGTAGCCACAACAACACGATCATTTGTACGACAGCACCTGCAAGTTCCGGTAGCAGTAGTGGCAGCAGCGGTAAAAGTAGCAGTAGCAGTAGCAGTGGGAACAGTCGCAGTAGCCGTAGCAGTAGTAGCAGTAGTAGCAGCAGTAGTAGTAGCAGTAGTAGTAGTAGTAGTAGTAGTAGCAGTAGGAGTAGTAGCAGTAGGAGTAGTAGCAGTAGGAGTAGTAGCATCTCGGGACCCACTCTTCGTACAATACGTCCCGAATTCGATATCAACCCTTAAGCAGATGTTGAACTCCCCGCCCTAAACCCTAAACCCGAAAAGCAATGCACCCAAGACCTGAATCCCTACCCAGACCCCCAAAAGGATCTAAAAAATAGATACCCTAAGGGGGTTCCTATAAAGTACCCTTTAGTAGCTAGGGTCCCTGACCATCTCTGCATGAAGTGCATCCATATCCAGGCAGGCCTTGTAGCAGTCGTTGTAGAAGCGCGATGAGCGCTCCACTTCCCAGACCCGCAAAAGGATCTAAAAATAGATCCCCTAATTAGGGACCCTAGCTACTAAAGGGTACTTTATAGGAACCCCCTTAGGGGATCTATTTTTTAGATCCTTTTGGGGGTCTGGGGAAACCCTACCATTAAAGCCCTGAGCTTCCTAGAGAGCGCTTACCAGCTGCACTTCAAACCCCCGCTGCAAATCCTAAACCGCAAAACCCCTAAGACCCCTAACTACGAAGAACCTACAAACCCCAACACCCAAACCCTAAAGGCTAAACCCCTTAGCCGCAAACCCCGAATCGAACAAATCTAAACGTCAACACCCTAAAACCTAAACCCTCAATCCAAAAACCTTGGAATCCCTTAGCTCCCAAAAGCCCAAAAATCGAAACCTATAGAACCCGAGCCAGAACCGGCAGAGGGAGTCCTGTGAGGACCAGAGCTTCGCAGGAGACCGACCTCAGGTGACTTCATAAAAGGGCTCCGGGATTGCCGACAGAGGGTAAAGGCCACGGGTTATTTTGTGGTTTAGGGGTTAGGGTTTAAGGTTTAGGGTTTAGGGTTTAGAATTTAAGGTTTAGGGTTGGGGTTGGGGGTTTCCGTGGGCCGGGAGAGTGAGTAGCAATATCCCCTTCTCGTCCCCATATAATTGTACGCCTGTTCCAAGTATGCAATCCCCTATTATTCTGGCCCAGGAGAGAGAAGTTCACGCTCCAAGTAGGTAGGTTAAGCCGCTTCGAAAGTTTTGCAGGATTGTTTGACCCCTTAAGTAAGACCACCCCTTGCTTGTACCCTAGAGGGGTTCTTATTGTGATTTCTGGTATGTGGTTGAATTAAAGGTATTTTAGGCTTTTTGGGTACTCTGTACGTGAACGCTCCGGGTTGCAAGGCTGTAGGGCGTCAGGATCTGAGGCCGCCTGTTGTTTCAGGGCAATCGCTTGAAGATCGTTCTTCTTACAGGTATCTTACAAAGAGTAGCCTATGATGTACTCAAGCTTTGTAGCCATTAAAATCTACCATGTTCTGTTAGAATGTTCGAAGACACTATCAGATATGAGACAACCTTAACTCACCAGAATCTCCTTTTTAGTCGGGTCCCTATAAATCCCATATTAGGGTTTATAGTAAGAACCTACAAAGAAGTGGGTTTTGGTAGATTAAGGAACATTATGACATAGCGGGCTGATCCCTAAACCCTAAACCCTAGACCCTAAACCCCCAAACCCTAAACCCTAAGATATGAGACAACATTATGACATAGCGGGCTGATCAATCCAGGTTGCGGCCAGGACAGCAGCGCTTGCCAGCCGCGGATCCCTGAACACACAGCCTACACCCTAACCCCTAAAAACTAAAAGCCCTAAACCCCTATAACCCTATAACCCCTAAACCTAAAAGCCCTAAACCCTAGGGATTTTGCATCGAGCGGCACAGTTGGGCATTTTAGGGTTTGGGGTCGGGGCTTAGCGCTTAGGGTTTGGGGTTTGCTGGCGGTCTGGTGCATCCTTCCAAGTTTCAAGACGCGCACACACAGACGCACACACAGAGGGCATGGAAACTGAAGCCGGAGCTGAAGCAGCACACACTGCTAGGTTTTCTTGCTATAGGATGCGTCCGATTAGCCTCCAAAGTGGGTCAGCGGTTGCCTCGAAGCCGGTCCAAACCTACATATCCTTAACCTAAGAGCTTCTTGAGCACGAGGAAAGACACCCCTTGCACAGACAACACATTGGAGATCCGGATTGTTTCTCCGGAACATCGTCGTCAGATCACATCGCCGACCAATTCGATTGCTTTGTAGTTTCACCTAATCGAGTCTCTGTCGACGGCTGTAGCTCCTCAAGCCCGTGAGCCCAAGGAAACCCAATGCCTGCCTTGCAAGAGACTATCTGCGCGTGCGGGAAGCAACAACAAAGCTCCAAGCTTCAACCTAAAACCCTGAACCCTAAACCCCTAACCCCTAAACCCCTAAACCCTAAACCCTAAACCCCAAAAGCCTAAACCCTAAACCCCTAAACCCAAAAAGCCTGAGCCAATAAAAACCGAAGCAGGGCCCCAGACCCCGAAGCCTCAACTCCTGCAGCCCTGAAAAGCCTGCACCTTTCACCCCTTGTCCTTATTCGCTTTTTGTAGGGGCCTAAATGATTACCAATGGTTTAGGGTTTAGGGGTTTATGGTGGGTTTAGGGTTTAGGGTTTAGGGTTCATAATTTTGGGGGTTCCTTATTATAACTACAATATAACGGGGCCCCAAAACCCTATTCTAACTATGAAGGCCCCTATATTACAGCCGAGCCCTCTAAGCCCCCAAACTCTCTTGATCCTACTACTGTAGGGGCCTTCAGAATTAGTAGAAGGTTTTGGGCCCCCCTAATACTATATTTTTTAAGGAACCCTAAGAAATAATATTGGTAATCATTTAGGCTTCTACAGTAGCTCCAACTGTCTCAACCCTGGAACCCAAATCATTCCAATCTGTAGTACCTAAACCCTAAACCCCTAAACCCTAAAACCCTAAAACCTTAAATCCTAACCTCCTAAAACCCTAAAACCCCTACAACCCTAAACCCCTAAACCCCCAAACAGCAGCCTCCCAGCATCCAAAGGCAGAAACACGAGGGAGGGACTCCTGGCGCAGGGGTCTGTTCCGACATCTTCGGAGGTTGCCGGGGTAAATTTTGGGTGGGTTTAGGGTTTAGGGTTTAGGGTTTTGGGCTTAGGGGGGTTCAGGGTTTAGGGTTTGGGTTTAGGGGGGTTCAGGGTTCAGGGTTTAGGGTTATGATTTTTTGTCTTTCGGGGCTGGGACTTCGTGGGTTTGCGCTTCTTCATGGTGTAGCTTGGTATGAGCTGTCCCGAGTTTCCGAAGACCTAGGGATTTTTCAGCTGGGGGTTTCCATCTGTCTTCTCCATCTGGTGTCTGTCTTTCTGTATCTGTATATGTGACTGTGTGTACACATTAGATAGATAGATGGATGGACGGTTGGATGGATAGATAGATCGATAGATAGATAGGTACTTACATATTTACCTGCTGACAACCTAGCCTTCTGGGAACTAGAAGGGTTGTGCTACACAGGCGCGTAAGGGTACCATCGGGGACCTACGGTTGATGACATAAATCCTGCATTACCCGTGACAAGGAATATACCACAAATACGGTATATTCTATATACCCATGATAAGGAATATACCATAAATCCCATAGTTTAGGGTCCTTAAGGTAATGCAGGATTTATATCATCAACAGTAGGACAGCGTAAGTCCGGCCTTTGTGTGCCTTCGGCTGCTCTGGCCCCGCAGCGCTGCGTCGCCCATCCCGGGCAAAGCATGCCAAACACCCAAAATCTTAGAGTTTTAGGTTAAGCCCGAAAGGCACCTGAACTCTAAGCACCCTGCAGTTTAAAAAACTGGCCAAGCCATGGCCGCGGGTGTTCGATGAGAAACTGTCGCTTAGGACCGCGGGTTTACGGTCCCTCTGCGTTGAAAGGTTCGGTGATGCTTCTGCTCCTGTGGATTCAGGGCTTAGGGTTCGGGCTCCAGAGTGTAAGGGTAAGGGTCAGGGTTTATGAACCTGAACCCGAAACCTTCATTAAGTTCGAATCACTTCAGGTCCTTGCCAGACTGAGGTCCGAATTACGTACGTGGAACCTGAAACTACCGTTTCAAGCCTCATCATAGTCTAATATCGTCTAAGATGGATATGGCTGGGTCAGGTACGTCGTGCTTGGCCTGAGCTGTTCTGATGAAGGCACCCAGCCCTAAGACACTTTCGCTCAAGACCGCAAAGCCCCAAAACCCCAATGCTTGAGCCAGCCGGAGTCCCTGGCATGGAGCACCGGGTGCCGAAGATGGACTCTTCCCAGACCTGTGGGACGGATCTTAGCAAGAAAACTCTAAACCGGTACCCCAAACTCGAAACCCCAAACCCCCGTCTTGGGGCTTGATCACTTGACTAGGATTTTCAGATTTTAAGGCACCCTACCAATCGATCAGGAGAAAAAGAAGGCAATTGTCAACAGCAGGATGTACTTTCAGATCCTTTAAAGGTTGTGCGTCTTCATGTTTCGAACTACGGAACCTTTACGTCTATCACGGTGGATGTCTGAAGTGTTCCAAAGGTTTGCAGCGTGGAAGAACCCATACATAGACTAATACCGACAGTGTAGTTCCGGGCTAATGTAGGGGCCTTAACAATCAGAATAGCGTTTCGGGCTCCTATATACTAGAGGAACCCTGAGGAATAATATTGTGAGGTTTTTTAGGTTTCTATATTATGTAAGGTTGTGGCATTACGCTATGTTAGGGATGGGAAGGATATGGAGCTACATGGCATCCCGAGCCATGTGCATGGTGTTCTATGTGGTTCGTGCACACTATGCCCAGAACCACGACAGGAATCTACTTTGGAGATCTACTTGCGTCATTAGTATATTGGCGCTCGCCTCATTCAAAAAAATCTACAAAAAGACTGACGATCCGGGAGCAGCACAATTGGTTGTGCTGGCTGGTCCTTGAATCCATTTGTCGAGAATAGGATTTCTATAGTTGGTATCCTGAAAAACCTACATATTCAGCCAAAAAGTTCCCATGGAGACCTGCAGACAGACCCGAACCCTAATATAGGACGACCTCGTTTAGGGTCGTTACCGAGATGTCCACACGGATATCCATGACAATGAACTCCGTGGTAGTATTGCTAACCATGGCTAGTGGTGCTGACAACGATGACGGCATGAACAACAGCTGTTTTAACACCATCAACAGTTACTTACGATGATGATGATGAGATGATCACGAAAACCATCATCGTTTCCAACACCGATATCACAACCGTCAGCATGACAATCACAAGCACTACCACAATAACAAGAATAATCATCATCACCATCTTCGTCATAATCGTAATAATCATCATCATCATAAACATCGTCATCACCATCATCATAATGTTCACCACCATCACCATCACCATCATCATCATCGCCATCATCCTAATGATCACCACCATCATAATGATCACCACCACCACCATCATGATCATCATCATCCTCAGCATCATCATCATCATCATCACCACCACCGTCAAAGTCCATCATCGCGATCATCCTTGTTGTGATCGTCGCAGCACCGCAAAGCAAGCTTTCAGTGCAAGTGAGCCATGCAATCCTTTGCCTTCATGGCGCGAGGACTGGGTCTCTGGTGCCCAGCAAGACAAAGGCAGGCGTCTGTTGATTCCGGGGGCGCCGGGGTGCTGCACCTGGGCCCCAAAGCTCGGCTAGAGACCCCTCTGAGTCTCTTGAGGTACCAGATAGGAGCTGGGGGCTGTGCAACCGAGTCCGAGCTTTTTTTTGTTTAAAAACACACAAGCGCCGCACCCCGAAGATTTCCCGATGAGGCCCTAATGTAATGCCGGAGCACTTCAAATAGGGTTTTGGGGTACATGATACTCTTTTAAGTACACAGCGACTCTAAAACCTCCCTTCTATTCAAGCACTGGAAAAGGGTCTTTTCGGTGACACAGCCCCGGCCGCACTTTGTGAGCCTCTGCTCCAAGATTCTCCACCCCACTCCGGCCGTTTGGCCGGCGTCTTGAAGGCAGCATGCTCGCTTCGGGATGTTGAGAATCTGTCAAGAAGCTAGCGGATGCGAAGGAGAAAAAACCCTACCGAAACGATGGGGTCACAGCCTGCTGTTGTGTACGGTTTGGGACTAGCTTTCAATTTAGAGCTACACGAGGTTTCATGTCGCTCACACTTGCTTCAATCGCGCGGAGTTGCTGGGATCCCAGCTCCACCCATAACCACAAGCGGCTCTCAAAACTGAGCCTATGCCCGATACATGCAGCCCCCACACCAACCATTCTGCCGTGACCTTTGATGGGATCCGGGCCACAGAAGCTTTGAATCGAGCCTTCAATAGGTTAGGTGCTTTGGGCTCGCGGATGCTTCGGAGTTCGAGCGGGCGTTTGGGGCTTGTGGCTATAAGCCTTCCTTGCGGGTAGTTTTCAAAATGAGGGTCTTTTTTTGTAGGGTCCTTTTTATAGGGGTGCCGTACATATTGGGGACCTAAAAAGGGACCCTAACTTAGAGAACTACCCTTGTACTGAGGGGGTGTATCCCGGAGCTGCACGTGGAAAAGCCGTCCAAGAGCTATCACGACGCGGTGCCTTGCTTGAGCCAGCCGGGGCGGCACGCTGGCTATGCAGGACATTCCTAAAACCTAAACCGCAGGCTTAGCTCAGTAGGTTGCTAGGGTTTAGGGTTTTTTTCCCGTGCAGACACCACTGAAGCCTGGGGCCCAAGATCAGAACCCTGAACTAGCAACGAACTCCTCCGAAAATGCCACAGAACGGTTGAGGCTTCAGCATAGTGAACGTCTCGTATAAAGGTCTAGGTAGAACACTCATCCATGTCTCGCCTATGCCAGCTGTTTCAAATTTCTGTCCCCTGAAGTGCCCTAAGGTGGATTTTCCTTTGCCCCGGATCTTCCTGCAAGAACTTGTGTTTCCATCAAGAAGAATGGATCCTGTGAAGGAAGCTGCTAGCCCTAAACCCCAAACCCCAAACCCTAAACCCTAAACCGTCCTAGCATCCCGGGGCTTTCTGGTGCCACCCCGAAGTGCTCCGGGGAGCATCGGATCTCCGTCAGTCCACAGGAAGGGAGTCCGATGCCCAAGGGTTGAAAGAGCCTTAACAGTTAGAATAGGGTTTTGGGGTATCTTCTAATATAGTTACAATTAGAATAGGGTTTTGGGGTATCTTCTAATATATACTTAGAATTAGAATAGGGTTTTGGGGTGAGGACCCCCCAAAGCAGTATAGGTAATTCTTAAGGCTCCTATGTTACAGGGCGGTTCCTTGACGGGTTAGCCCCAAAAGGTTAAAGGTTGCCTACTCAACCCCTAAGTAGAGCTCGTGAAGACGAAATTCGTGCCCGGCTGAAGGTCTCGTGCCTTCCGTCTTCAGACCCTTGCAGGTTTAGGGTTGAGGTTGGGTACGGTTTAGGGTTTAGGGTTTAGGGTTTAAGGTTTAGGGGTACTGCCCCCCCCCTACAGTAACAGCCTATAATAAGGGTACTGTCAAGGGCCCAATATGTCTATATTATGTGACTGTGAGTCAGTGCTGTGTGCG